GTGGTCAAGAATTATAACTGTGATATCAAGGAGTTTCCCAATCAGAGATGCCATCAGAAAGTGATGGCTTTCACATTGGGAAGACAAAGCCACTTTTTTTCTTGAAGGTTGCAAGAAGGGCTATTGGGATATCGGTGTAACGCTATGTAATGGACACATCAATATAATAGAGCAGGGGATCACCAACATTTTCCATTTTTAGGTGAGTTTGACCCAGCGCAGGGGAAAACTAGGTTGATACCCAAACCAGGTGACTACTACCACTTTTCATCAGTGCTGCTTTTTTTTGCTGCCCAGCTGCAGTACAGCACAGCAGAGAGTAAGAAAAGGCCTCTGTTACCAAGAGACCTTCCTCCACAGGGTGGATACAATGGTGTCATGGGCTCTAGATTGCCAACTGCTGTCCAGACAAAACTGATAAGGTCAAAATGAAATATTTTGGGACTGTTTTGGTTCATGAAAAGATAAAATAAATCCCAAGCTGGGGTTTGAGAAAGTTTGATATTTTTAAATTTAACTCATGATGGGATCATAGTTTCTGGCCATAGGAACATCCATGAAGAGAGCGAATTCCAAACACCATAAATCTTCTAGCTGCTGGACTCCAACCAAACTCTGTCAGTAAGTTAGCATGGAGGCTGAAGGACAGAGATACCTATTGTCAGATCAGGCTCTGGCATCTGTCAGGTTTGAATCAAGAGAAATCAGGTCCATGAATGAGTCTCTGATCTCTTGATGCTCCTTGTGGAGCCTGCCTGGCATTGGCTGTACATGGCATGAGGCTGCAAAGGGATGTATGCTTCATGTGGTACCTGTGCCAGGCGAGCCCTGTGTACTAGACTGGGGGGTTGTCTGCATTGGGCCCATTGACCCACCCTGCACGCAGGATCCAGTGTGCACAGTCAGCTACACGTCTGCCCCACTGGGCAGTTTTTACTGTGGGACTGCCATGACTGCTCAGTCCCAAAGGGGCATGGAACATTTCAAACCCTACAGTGCAGTAGCAATGAGGTAATGCTCAGGAGCTCATAGCTACTGCATAGTAGTGGCAGCATCATGGTTAGGGCCTGCCAACACTATGTTGCCACAGGGATGAACAACATTGCCGTAACTCATCGCTACGCTGACCTAGAATCTCGTATAGACAAACCTACCCTGGTGCAAATGCAACATGCCATGAACGACACGTGCCCCCTGGAAGCTGTGGGAGAACGGCGACTGCCTGCAGGCAGCAGTGATAGCAGCAAATTGGGAGATCCTGCAGGTAGCCATGCTAGTGTCAGCGGCAGGGCAGGGGGAGTGGCAAGTAGTGACCACCCGCAGACATCATTAGCCATGTTGGCAGCGGCCAGTGGTGATCAGTGACTGCCCGGAGATACTGTTGGCAGTGTTGACAGTCAGGGGCAGAGGGGCACTCGATGAACCGCCAATCTCAGGAGGTCCACATGCTCCCATGTACATCCCCTATGCATTGCCAATGCCATATGTAATCTGCACCCCCAGTGACCTGCTGTGGGTAACATGTGCTGCAGGCTGGCCCCTCACATCTTATGCTGCGCACGGTGCTGGGGCTGTTTCGTGCTGTGTGTGGTATGCAGGGCTAGAGCTGTACACTTGGTGCAAGCACCAGATGTAGCCAGTCCACCATGCACGTTGCATGCAGTGCCTCCACTACACCACCCTTGTGGGCTTGATGTGGCATATGGGGTCCATCTATGTCTGACACCGCTGGGTTCAAGGGAAGCTGGTGGTGTAAGAAATGAGGGGAGCTGGGACCTGGGATGTATATAACTCAAGGGAAAGTGGTGTGAAGGGCTGTCAAATTCATGACAGTAGATTCAGAACCATGACTCTGCTAATGATTGCTGAGCTAATATTTTGTCAACGTGATGCCTTGCAACGGAGCTTGTTTGTCTGAGTTATGGAATATATTAATTATATTTAAAATTATTTCTTTTGCACCTTACAACCTGACTTTCATTCTCATGTTATTGTCTCATGCAAAACTGCATAGAACTAACCCAATTGCAACTTGGTGCCTCCCTGCATGCTGAGGTACCCAGGCTGGCTAACTGGGACAACAGAGCCAGATAGAGAAGCTCAGGGCCTTCTCAGAGATCCCATGACTTGTGTTGTGAGGGAGATTAAATCAGAGCACAGCTCTGCTGTTCTGCTAACATCTGTACAGCTCAGACTGTTTACATCTGGGCTTTTCCTTCTGAGCTGTGCAGGACTCCAGGGAACGAGGCCCATGAGCCTTTGGAAGAAAAGAACTGAAAAATTACCATCTTGCTTCACTCCTTTTCTACAAGGGAGGGTTGAGGTCAGCTGCACACTCAGAAACCTGTTTGGATTTACTCCAGTCACTCGGTGACAGAGGGAGCAGAGAAAGACCTCTGAGTTAGCTGTGCTTCTGGGGATCTAGACTAGTGGTTGGTGCAGAGGAGATCTGAGAGATCAACTGGACAAGACCAAAGGATCTCGGCAGGGGAAGCCTGAATATGACACAAGATCAGGACATTTCCACAAAAACAAGTTCAGTAAAATTTCTGTATCAGTGAAGTGTCACGTCTAAGGAAGATGCAGAGGACAATTAAAAACATTAAAGTTGGGAAACCTGGCTCCATAAATCATACTGCATTTTATGAATAATAGATTCAAAGCTACAAGAGTGAATGAAGAATATTTTATTGTTTTTGCTATTAATTCAGATAAAGTTATACAGCTTAGTGGGAGTTGAATGGAGGGTGGGGTGGGAATAGGACTGCTAAGGAAGTCAAATTTTATATATCTTTTATATCACATGTATTTGGTTCCAGCATACGTTTTCTAGGTCAGATGGATAAAATTATAGACTTTTGGATTTAAATAAATAAAAAAATAAATAAACAAAAATCCTGATTCGTGGCTGGGCTAACATTTTCTTCTCTTTCTAAATGGAATATCAAAATATTTTATTTTATGTAGGGTCTTGCCATGGTAAAATAGTTTATTAAAACAAATTTTTCCATGAGGCAAAAATTGGAATATTTACATTCTTACCATGAAATTTGGAGACATTATTGATGGGAATATCAAAGCCACTGAGTTTGTTACTCTCCTCCTTACCATTGCCCTTGTTCTAGTGTACCCAGGACTTGCACGGTTCCCTGGGAAGGAAGATGCCCAACTGGACCACTGTAACCGAGTTCCTCCTCCTGGGCTTCTCTGACACTCGGGAGCTGCAGATCTTACACTTTGTCATCTTTCTCGCAGCATACCTGGCAGCTCTGGTGGGGAACTTGCTTGTTATCACTGTTGTAACTACAGACCACCACCTCCAGAGCCCCATGTACTACTTTTTGGTTAATTTGTCCATCCTTGACCTTGGATCCAACTCCGTCATCGGCCCTACCTCCATGGCCAATTTCCTCTCAAACACCAGGACGATTTCCGATGCTGGATGCGTCCCAGGTCACTCTATTATTCCGCTTTGGTTCAGCCAATGTTGCCTTCCTTACCATCATGGCATAAGACCAGTACGTTCCCATCTGCCAACCACTGCATTATGAGATAATAATGAACAGGAGAGCTTGTGTCGAGATGTATGCCCGTGCTTGGGTTGCTGGTGCCATCAACTCTGCACTGCACACTGGGAACACCTTTTGTATCCCCTTCTGCCACTCAAACATCATCAACCAGTTCTCCTGTGAAGTTCCCCAGGTACTTAAGCTCTCCTGCTCTGACACATACCGCAGAGAGCTCATAGCTCTTGCCTTCAGTGTGTGTTTAGCTTTAGGCTGTTTTGTTTTCATCGTTGTGTCGTATGTTCAGGTCTTCACCCCAGTGTGGAAAATCCCCTTGGAGCAGGGCTGGCAGAAGCCTTCTCCACCTGCATTCCTCACCTTACTGTGGTCTCCCCTTTTATTTCCACTGCTGGCATTGCCCACAGAAAGCCCATCTCCGTCTCCCCGGCCCTTCTGGATCTCCTGGCAGCTGTACTGTATTGTGTGGTGCCTCCATTGATGAATCCGGTCACCTACAGCATGAGGAACAGGGAGATCCAAGCTGCCCTGAGGAAACTGCTCCAAAGGTTTTGAGGAAACTACCCCAGAAATAATAGGTCTATCATTCTTTCATGTCTTCACTTTACTTATATGTATATTTGTGCTGAATTGTTTTCATACTATCATGTGAAACCTGCTAATAAAAATGAAGGTGGTAGGCTAAATGTTGTAGCATTGTAAGGACAATGATTCTTTATGCAGCTAATTTTGCATTAACACGATTGAAGTGGAAAAAGTAGTGATTCATGCATCAATGTTTCTTTGTCCCACCTAAAATAAATCTCACCAGTTGCAAGGTCATAGAATGAAAGAAAATCCTAGAAATTATGTTTGGAAGGGACCTCTGGGTGGGGGCGGGGCATGGTTTGTCGGTCTGCGGCTACTTCCGGTCTGGCAGCTTACCATGCTCCAGACCGTCAGCCGCAGCCCAGGGATTGAGAACCCCTGATCTAGTCAAAGTCCCAAAATAATGAAGAGTTGTAGAACTGATTTTACTAATTGATATAATTATTTGAATGACAGAATACATAGGTAAATATCCTGCTGAGGTGAAACTGGGATGAACTGCAAGTGCTTTGTAGGATAAGCATAGATATAGATAGATTGGAAAGCTGGGCTAAAACAGCAGGGCGAGTTGTAAAGAAATAAATGAAAGGAGCTGCACCTAGGAAAGAATCATCAAAAGCCAAAATACAGGGTGGATTATAAATGCCGGGGTGACAGCAGTGTTCAACAGGATCTGGGGTGTCTGGTGGACTACAGACTCAACATGAGGCAGCAACCTGATGTAGCTGCAGAAAACTGAATGCAGCTTGTGGCTGCCACAACAGAGGTATTAAATTAAAACATGGGAGGTGACAGTGGCCAGTCTATATGGTGCTGGATAGGCTTCGTCTGAAGTATTTTGAGAAGTTCTGGGCTCCATGTTTTAAGAAGGACCATGGAGAAGTTAGAAGTTCAGAAATGGGTGACAAGAACAATAAGAGGGTGGGAAGGCAAGTCATGCAGGGAGAGGTTAAGAGCATTAGGCATATTAGCTTGCAGAAAAGACAATTAAGGGGCAGATCAGAACAGTCTCCAAATATCTGAAAACCTGCCACGATGAAGAGAGTGAACAGCTATTCATTCTTGCTACATAGGGAAGGATATCTAGCTTCAGATTACAGCCAAGTAGATGTAGATTAGACTTTGGGGAAAAAAAAGCACCCTTGTTTTTAGAATAGCGAGGAAGTGGAATAGACTCCCCAGGGAAGTTGTGGAGTCTCCGTCACTGGAGATTTTCAAAAAGAGGCTGGATAGGCACTCATCAGGGATGGTTTAGGAGTGCCATTCCTTTAGGGGGTTAGACCACATGACCCTGGGAGGTGCCTTCTAACCCTTTGACATTACTTATTATATATATATATATATATATATATATATTGTAAAGTCGCCCATGACAACTGTCGCCCATGACAACCGTCGCCAACTTCACAATAATATATTGTGAAGTCGCCCATGACAACTGAGTCCCTGGCACCCAGCCTCTCTGTTGGTTCTCGAGAGAAGTCCACATCCAGCTCCTCCGCTTGGTTCGGGGGCCTGTAGCAAATGCCGCCGGTTAGGTTTCTCTCACCTGACACCTGCCCAGTAGCTTGAGCCAGGGTGCTCCAAGCTGTTTCTCTTTGGAGCCAGTGTCAGTCTCCGGAGAGGAGTCCCACTCTCTCACATCAAGAGCTACCCCTCCACCTTTTCTCCCTGCCGTGCAGGAGGCAGCCCTCTATGGCTACGCTCTGATCCTGCGAGGAGTCCCGCCAGGTCTCCGTGATCGCCCCAGGCCATACTGCCACTAGCTTGTTCTCTGTGCGCCTGGCATTGATGTGTGGGCAGCTGAGGCCCCCAGCTGACACCCTCGATTACCTGAGATGCCATGGGAGAACTGTTTGGTTCACATTTTCAAAACCAGTTAATCTTTGTGTCCTCCATGCAGGAGCTTTCCTGGGTGCTGGTCCCCAGCCACGTTCCACATGGAGTTTCCCCGTCCTTTGTCAGAGTCACTGTAAAGCCCTGTCTCAGCCAGGGTGGTCAATGGGTCACCCTGGCTGAGAACAGGGCCTTCCTTATCTCTCCTAGGAGTCCTCTCTCTCTTAAGTACGTACAGGGGTCAAAGAAAGCAGACCCCTCGTGGTCACACCACTGTTGGAGGCGTCTGTTGACTTCCACACAGCCGTCCCTCCTGGCTCCGTGGCCTGCAGCAGGGAGCACAGAACAGAAAATGACTTGAACCCCCAGTCCCTCGAGCCCAGCCCCCAGGGCCCTTCAGTACTCATGTCCCGGTCAGGGTTACCCCTGGCCGCATCGTCCACGCCCACGCAGACAAGGAACATGGGGTAATAGTCAGAGGGATGGACGAGCCTGAGGATCCTCTCGGATGCAGGCCCCAGGGAGCCAGCAGACCTCTCAGGCTATGGGGTCCAGAGGGCAGATAGGTTCCTCCGTACCTCTCTGGAGAGAGTCCCCCACTGCCACTGACCGGCATCTCCTCCTAGGAGCGGGGATACTTACCTCCTGAATACTTACCTCCTCCTCTGGTGTCTCTGTCAGAGTCTCCTCTTGCACCACCAGGGGTGTGTACCTGTTGTGCGGTGCCAGGGGAGGAGCAACCCTAGCTCTGCATGACCCGGACATGGAGACGACTATTTTCCAGGGAGCTCGGGGAGGGGCTTTGTGGCCAGCTCCTCCCCCGTTCCCCTGGAGTAGGGCTTGGCGGTAGTTGTGGCTGTAATCTTTGTGGGCCCTGATGGCATGCACCTGGCACACCTCCTCCTCGAGCTCAATGCACTCAGCCCTCCAGGGACTCCACCAAGACACACATCCCACAAGGATGTGCTTCTGTGCTCAGGTATCGGCTGCCCCCGTGGTCTAGGGCCTGTCTGGGTGGAGGTCTCAGTGTTAAGAAGCTGATGCTGGCAGGCATGGTGGGTCGCTGCCATGGCCGCAAGCTACTTCTCATACTTACCTGGTCTCAGGAGCTTCTGTTTAGGCCTCTGGGCTCAGGTTGCTTGCTTGGCCCAGCCCTCCAGGTGCCTTGTGTGCGCCCCTCCATGCAAGCTCCCACACAAACTGCTGCGCCTTTGTCAGACTGCACCAGTTCACACGCTCTGTTCACACGCTCTGTTCCAGTCCCGGGGCTCAGCTAAGTAGAGACCCAGGGGAGGGGGCAGGGTTCCCCTCCTCGGGCTCCACTCAACCAGTGCATCCCACCCAGCACAGCCCCATACGCACACTCACTCAAACCCCTGCAAGCACCCCTGCACTCACCTGCCTGCTCTGTCGGCCCAGCTTTTACCTCCCGGCCTTCCGCTGGGGGGTCCGGGTCCAGGTCTTTGGCTCCCAGGGGTGCAACGGGCACAAACCTGTGCATCTCTGCCGGGAAGCAGGCTCAAGAGCAAGTTCTCTGCTGTGTGACAGCCAGCTGTTTCAGAGCACACGTGATGAACAAGAAGCAGCTTCTGCTTTCTCGTCTAATCTAGCTCTCCGGGACTGCTGACATGTTACGGTGGCCGGGACAACAATAACCTGATCGACGCTTCTAATCTCTGGAAGGGCGGAACCTCTAAAGGCAAGTCTCAATGTCATGTTCACTCTCACTGCCTGTCTCTCGCTGCGGTCCGTGGGGCCCCGCTCTCTCCCTCGTGCTAGGGATGACACTGGACGACAAGGAAACATCTCCGCTGTCAGAAATGAGAACGGTCTCCTAATTGACTACGGCTGCTGGTGGCTCCCAGTGGGGAGGCAGCCGCACCGTGTGGTCCGGTGTTCGAAAAGCATCCCATACCTATCGACATAAGAAAATGCTCAGCATGTACGAGCTCTGGTGAACAGTTGTGAGACATGTTTCTCATGAATCCTGTGCAGGATTCAATACACTTTCTGGTGACTGACACTGCAGCTAAACAGGGTCCCAGGCTTGCAGTTGGGAGCTGAGGGAGCAGGAGGAGGCTGACCGGGCATACATGAGGCTCTCATCACATGTGTGACCCTTTCAACTTTCAACTTACCAGCAGCAGAGGCTGAGGACCATCGGTGGGGCCAGCAACAGCTGATCCCCTTAAGATAAGTGGGGTAGGAGCTGGCACAGCTGCAGAGGATCCAGAGGGGAAGCTCCCGAGCGACACGTGCAAACAGAGCACAAAAACAGGCACACCGGCATTTGTGCCAGCGTTCGCACAGGCGGAAGCAGGCGGATCCTCAGAAGCAAGGAGGCTCCACCAAGAAGGAGAGAGGTAAGTACTACCTACAAGGTATGGTGAGGACCCACAGCACTACCAGGGTCTCTGCCCTGGAGGGGTCACCCTCCCAGGGCTACTCTGAGGTTGCCACCCAGATGGAGCCCATGGGGGCCCTGGTGTCCACTTGCCCCCCGTTCTGTGGGAGCAGCTGGGTGGGGACCCCGGTGGTAGGGATGAGGTCTGGTGACTCCCCTGCCTGCCCTTCCTGTGACCATCTTCAGGCTCTGGAGGGGGAGGTGGTGCAGCTCCAGGCCGAGGTGATCAGGCTGCAGGGGATTTGGGTGGCAGAGGATGAATCTGATCTGTATTTTCATTCTTTGCAAGGCCAGGAATCCACGGGAGAGACCCCCCGCACAAAATGCCCAACTAAATGATGGCAGCAGGTTCCTGTCAAGTGCGGGGCCAAGGTGGCTCACACCAGCACTGTACCTGCTCAGCTCCCCCTTGTAAACAGGTATGCAGCCCTGGCCACCCAGGAGGAGAAGGTAGAAGAACATATCCCCAGAGTCACTGAGGCTGCTCCACCTACATCACAGGTGGGGAAGAGGCAGCCCTGGAGGAAGAAGAAACGCAGAGTTCTGGTCCTTGGGGACTCCATCCTTAGCAGAACTGACGGCCCAATCTGTCGCTCCGACCCCTTGTTGCGGGAGATCTGCTGCATGCCCGGCGCGAGGATTTGGGACGTCACAGAGACCATCCCAAAGATCATTAAGCCCTTGGACTATTACCCTCTAGTTGTGGTCCATGTGGGGACTAATGATGCATCTAAGGGTAAGACTGACTCCATCACGGAAGACTACAAGGCCATGGGTCATCTACTGGAGATGGGAGCACAAGTGGCATTTTCCTCTATCCTCCCAGTAAGCGGATGGAGTAGAAGCCACAAGGCCTGTATTGGTGTAGTTAACCGGCATCTTCGGACTGGTGCTATGAGGCGGGCTTCAGATTTCTGGACAGTGACCCATATTTCAGGGCTGAGGGCATGCTGGGGTGGGATGGACTACATC